AGTAATAATATGCTAAATCTAGATGTATTAAATACATAATGATTATCTGTGTATCCAGAGTGAAAATGATCTTCTTAAAAATATAATGCAAAGCTAATCTGTTATACAGATAACGCAAAATGAAGATCTAAACTAAAAGAGATCTAAAGGAAGATAACCCAATCAAAATTATTACAATAATTAATTAAAATTATTATATTTTTTAATATAGAAAATTTCAGTTTATTTATATTCTCAAAATTAACAAATTCAATATTAGATTTATTGAAGCTTTAAGTTATTTAATTTTTGATATTTAGAAAAAATATTGAATGTGATTAAATTTGAATTTATATATAATGTGTGAAAAAAAATCAGAATTATTATTTTTACTTATATTTAATAAATATTTATTTAAATCATATAAAATTTTAATATACTGTATATATATGATAATCTAGTAAATAAGTTTACTTAAAAGTATTTAATAACTTAATAAAATTTTTATAATTAAATTTTTTTATTAAAAATTTTTTAAAAAAATTGATTATAAAAAATTTAAAATTCTAATTTTAATTTTTTATTCAATGAATATTTATTTAAATTATACAAAATTTTAAATATATATGATTAATAATCTAATAAACAAGTTTACTTAAGATTAATTTGTAAAATAATAATCAAATTTAATTATAATAATTTTTAAGTTTTTTTATTTTTAAAAATTTTAATTATAAAGTATAAATTATAAAAAATTTTAATAGGTTAATCTTAAGTTATTTATCATGCTCACAAGTATATAAATTTAAATTTTATGTTATTTAAATAAATATTTATGAGAAAATTAAGAATTATGATATTTTTGCCCACATTGTATATATTTACACTATTAAATAATTTAAACAAATCATTAATAAGTTAAAACTTTTCTAAGATAATTATTAAATATTAATATACCTAACAAAAATTAGTGTAACCTTTTGAATTTAGACATGTCATATTTATTGATATTAACGTTAATATATAATTCGCTGTTGCAATTATGCATGTATATCTACATTTCTGGAACAATGGAATAACGTGCTTCCAACGAGCTTCATAAAAAAACAAATATTCCCACTACGAACTATTGAATAGTTGATTACACGCGTTTAAACTAGCTATTTAAGAAATTTATTCGTATACAGATTATCGAAATATTGTGTAATACATGAAATCATAACTGTAATTGCAAACAATTATAATTTAATTGTTATTTGTTTAAAAAATTATAGTTGTTCAGTTGTCAACTCAACCAATTATCTAACGATTGATAAACACTAGTCATTGTTGCTGTTTATCTACAAGATGTTGATATAGTATGGGAAACTTATAATATATCATGTACAGAATAACAAAAAATTTAACCGTGTGAAGTATGGGAAAACTTATAATATATCATGTACAGAATAGTATGGGAAAACTTATAACAGAATAATATGGGAAAACTTATAATATATCATGTACAGAATAACAAAAATATAACTGTGTGAATTTTTCATTACCTTTCAAGAAACTATATAAAACCAGAAACAACCACGTAAATTTTAGAACAAGATTTACAAAATGTTGATTCACGAGATTAACGCATTAGAAGCTATAAAAAATAAAGTCAGAGAAACTAACAGGAAAGCAAACGAGATTGATGAATTGTTTGAGAAAATATTGAAATTCCTTCTTGAGCAAAACTCGAATCTTATTTCACGATGGAAATCCCTCAAAAACGAGTGGAAGGAATTAATTCGTTCAAGTCGACAAGACGCAAAATCTTTAAGCGACTTCATCTTATACTTCAAAAATGAACTCCTTCCGCAATTAAATTCCGCCTATTCGCATGAACAAAAACAAGAATACATTACAGAAGTATTGATTCATGTAAGTTTTCGTCCATAATTCTTTTATTAAATTGAATTATATAAATTTTTTTGTAATCTTTTATAAATAGCGAATATCTCGTGAAAGAGAAGAATCAAAGCAACATCTTGAGAAATTTAATAAATTGCGCGAAGATATTATAGCTTTTTCGATCAGGTTTAAAAGAATTCAAGATATCGAAAAGTTAACTTCAGATTTGGCTACTCTGAATGCAGAATGCTCCTCTATCAATATTACGATTGGATGTTTAGTTGCTGCGTTTGTGATTGGGGGTTTAGTTATCTTCGGTGGACCTTGGGCAAAGTCAATTTTAAATTATAAGTATGCTAAGTTAGCAGCACTAATTTCCAGCTTTATCGGATCATCCTTCGTAATATACAAATTTGTTCAAAAAGGAGGTAATAACTGAAAATATTCAAAAAAAGTAGTGGTTCAAAAGTTATCTGGCAAAATATATTAATCATGTCTCAAATATATGATTATACCAGGTAAAAAGAAGGAAATAGAGGAAATAAATAAGGTGCTCAATGCAGAGTCCAACATTAATAAGATAACCGAAGATATGAAGTCTCTAGGTGGTTTATGGGAATACTTCGAGATGCTTTTTACCAATTACGCAAAATCTTTGGGTCAAACAACAATAGACCTCAGTAATGCTGGTAATAATGGATTTTCTCTAGATAGGATAAATTCCAATATTAATCATTCAACGATGGAATTGGTTAAATTAGCCTCTTACCTCGATCTTTATGCAGCTAACATTACTTTTTAGCATTTTATGATAGCAAAAAAATTTAATTATAGAGTTGAAACTGAAAAAGTGTGATTGTATAGAGATACTGTAAAGTCACAACATATAAGTTTACATTTTATCTGTTAATAAAATATTTCAAATTCATTTCAATTTGCTTATCTAAATTTCCTGAATTATCTCATACATGAAAACGCGAAATAATTTCTTCGCTACAGACAGATAAAATTTTAAATTTACTCACGAAATTTGAATTACCTCTCTACGCTGCAATCTTTTGCCTTAATTTTTGGCGTTAAAAGGTCTTCTATTTGTCAAAAAGCAATCTTTATCTCACAATCATCAACAATGAACTTCATTGGAAACATCACGTTTCCAATCACACTTCTGTTATTCAACACAACAATAATCGAGGAAACAACGTTCCTAATGATCGACTGGGCCATACTGTCAAAATTATTATGATGCCGAGTTTCGTGGTTATGTTGTTAAGCTTTTCATCCTCTTTTTTTGGTTTTTTTTTTCTTGTAGTATACGACGAACACTTACGATATGTTGCGTGTTATTTCGGATGTTATTTTGAAACCATGTTTTATCTAATGATACATGTATATAAAAGATAATGCAAATGGTTTATCTAATTTATTATACCATACCATAAAAATAACTCAATAAAAATAAACATAAAAAATTTTTTATCTTAAAAACAACCATATAAAAGTTTCAGGTACAAAATATGAATAATTTCATATGTGAAAATAAGATAATAAAAAATATGAATAATTATCTAATAGATATGAAAAATTTAGTAAAAAATTATGAAAATTCAAAATTCTTTTTGTTACTACTGTAATACATTCAATTGAAAATGTATAGTTTTATTTATTTCAATTTCCAATACTGCTAATATAAACATTATTTTGACAGTTACAAATATTATCATTTTCGATTACTAATTTCAACTCTAGTGAGTCATCCCTCTCTATTATCAATAAGGGTTGATAGCTCAGAGGTTAGACTTAATATCAATATTTAAGTTTAAGCGAAATTTTGGTTTTCAATAAATTTTGGTATTATAAAGGAGGGTTGATTGTAATCTCAATCTAAATCAAACTGCCATCTTTGAATGAAGATAGTAATGGATTGGTATAGAAGACTTTATAATATAGATATGACGAAATTTCTTGTTCTCAAAATATGTGCTTTTATATATGTAAAATCGTGATTACAGCTGCCATTTATCTACTGACTGCATACGCAGATAAGTAAATATTATAAACGACGACCTATACTGAAAATTTTTTTGAATATAATAGTGTAATCGAGTATGACTGCCTTTCATTAGATAAATATAAATACGTATAGTAAATCAAAAAGCTTATGGCAAGTATTTCAATATATTGCCCAAATTCAACCCTTTAAATTTCTGAAGTTCCTCTCATCTGACTTGAAAATATTATGTGGGATGTGAGGAAGTTCTCCGTGATAAAAAATATAACGTGATAAATGGCACGTCATCAACCTACATATTTTTGTGTCTATGTAATAAAATCAATCCCAATAACCATATCTGAGTAAACTCTGTTTTCTCCACAACCTTCCTTCAGCATCAAAAGGACTTTCATCATCACTTTCGTCACTCTCCTCCATTGGAATTCCATTCACAGCAGGTATATATTTCTTAGCATTCTCTAATGCTTCCGTCGTTAAATATTTCGCAGTTGAAAGATCAATTTCATTTATTTGGTGACTATCCGTGAATTCAATAAATACCTCCAAATGTTCATCTGAAATGACTTCACTAGCCGAAAAGGAGAGAGTCGAGAATTTTGCTTTTGTGATCTGAAAAAAAGACCGTAACGATTCAGAAGTGAATTCAAAATTTAGATCTATCGCAAATTTAATGTATTCTCTTGCGGGAAGATTTGATCCAAGTTCTTTGAGAAGTAAATCTCCGTTAATGTTACCAAGAACATAGTAAGGAGGATCTGATTGTGATAATGTCAAAACCGACAATTTCGAAAAAGGTTCTAAATGTGAAAAGATCTTCGAAATCCCTGGATAAGCATTTTGTGAAAACTTAAAGTCATTTGAACTAATCTTAATATTAATTTCACAAATATTTCTACTAATTCTCGCAGCAATCGGTAATATCCATGAACTATATTTATCATTTAAATTCAAACTGATTAAATTCGAACATGTGATTGCCGCGCCTTTTAGTGAATACGGATTCCAACGGTTCAAGATTTTTTTTGTTAAGTTTTCTTTGGAACATAATAACTGAGAGACGGAGGTATTAAATTCGATATTTAGGTGCGAAAGGCGAGTTTCGTTGTTTTCAACTATCTTCTGAAATATCAAATTTGCCAACTCTATTTTATCGTTTATTTTTCTAATTGATTCGTCAGCATCCTGCTTATTGTTGAGAGTATCGATTGACAGTCGAATTAATAACGAAATATTTAGAGATTTGATATAACTCAAATAGGGAAACGATGGGGAAGAGCTCTTTTTGTTTAATTTCTTTAAAGTATTAAACAACGATTTTTTGTTTCTCGCGGAATTTAATTCTATGTTGAGTGCTGATTTCCAAATATACGGAATTACTGTTTGGCACCAATGACGATTAACAAGCAGACAAGGATACAATAAAGAAGCGGATTTTTGGTGGTGATTATCGTTTATTAGAAAATTAATGATTTTACAAAGACATAAATGTGGAATATGTGACGCCATTTTTTATTTTCTACATGCACAAGTAAAAATTCGATATAAGAAACACTCGATACATACCGATACTGATACATTTATGTATTACATGTACATTTGGGCTTTGCTTTCCCGGATATCTAATTCCACTATCCTTCCTAAAACGTATAATTAATTTATCAAAGTCATACAGTGTTGGAACACAAATAACAGTCAAACCTGGATACATATCATGTACATGTACATTTACACATGTATAACGATGACGAAACGACTATCTCTCTTTCATTTCAACCAATTCACGCATTTTATGAACTCAAAGATGGAATCTAACATTCATGTTTGTGATGAATGTTGGTGTTGTCAACAAGAGATTAGATACTGCGATAAGTATTCAGTTCACAATACTCATGATTGTAGTAAATGTCACCGTTGTCAAGAAAATAAATCGTATGAGTTCTGCCATGACTGCTTCTTTTATTATAAACGAATTTATAACGATGAATTGTCTAGCGAAGATAAAGATATCGACAATCTAATAAAAGGATGCAACAAAATTATTCATTATAAATCTAATTACATATTTGAATGGATTCCTTTTGAAAGAGTTACCAACATTGAATATCTTGCAAGAGAAGGTTTTAGGCCAAGTAACCTCTACTGCTGAGAATACTCTTCTTCAAGTATCTGACAAGGCTACGGAAAAAGCGGATGAGCAATTAGAATTCCTCAAAAAAGCCGCAGAATCGAAGCTGAAATTATACGAGAATTCAATTGATGGAATGTTTTTAAATCCTGACTCTGTAGAAAAGATCCAAATTTGTTGAAAAACAGCTTGTATGTATCTCGGAATATTGCTTATGAAATTGCCTTTTGGGGATGTGTTCTAACAAAAAATTCCTTACATTATATGATGTTTCAACGATATGATTCTGATCCTAATTGAAACGTCAAGAGAATAAAGAGAGGATATCAGATGACTTTGATGTCATTCCAATGATCTAATATTTTTGTTCGCCTTGGCTAGGGTACTAGCTCTAGATGTGAATTATGTTGTGTCATGTGCATTAGAATGTCGCTATTACGCTGAATGCTAATTCGCATTTCGATGCACAGCCTACATAATTATTGCTGGATATGAGTGTATTTGAAAAGTTAAAGATATTATTCGATCCATTTAAAAATGAAGTAAAATTTTTTGTGGAATTTTCAATTTGAATATTGTGATGATAAAATACCATATCAAGAAGATTCGTAGGTTGCAAGAGGAATTTCAAAATAAAAGAACAGTTTTGCTTATCAGATTCGGATCCACTTAGGAGATCCGGATCGTCGCTTTATCAAAAATTGACTTAATTCGGCAATATTTGACCGATATCGAATAGGTCGGAATTGCTATCCCATATGCAACCAGTCTTTTTTCCGGGAACCCAAATCCGGGAATAGCTACGACACTTGCTACCCCAACACCTGAAGTGCCTACTAGAGCCCCGTATATTATCCATTTGCGGAATGTGAATAGTAAACTGGTTTATTATAGAATGAATTGGAACGAACACCTCGACCTAAGATGTCATTGGAGAATTGAATTCAATATTGTGCTTAATGTAATTTCTCAACCTTAGATGTAGTCGTAACTTGAAATTCAACATTGTCTTGGATTGTATTTTTTTTTAAATTGTTCATTGCTAATGCTGTAGACTATTTGCTTAAAACAGAGATAAATTTTCAATGCGTTTTATTATCATATGTTAATTAATAAAATCAATAATATTATTGGGAAAAATATCTTCATGCTTTACAGATATAATATGAAAATCTACTTATTTATCTACCCACGACTTTAATAACATAATAAAGTAAAATTATTTTTGCTATAAAATACAACGTAAAGCATCATGAAATAAAGGTTAAGAGGGAGGAATAAAGTATGAAATATGCCAACCGGGGTGAATGATTTAAACGTACTATTTACAAAAAATCGAGTCGTTTAATCAGCGCATATTAACTTTAATAAATGTTATTTAAAATGTAATTTTATTATATTTAAGGGTCTTTTATACATATATTAATTAATGTCGATCACCGGACCAAGTTATTTTAAATAAAATAAAAGAACGTGACAAAGATGAAGCGACAACCAATAATTAAATTTCCATTCTGTATTTTCAGAACGAGTTCACAATGTATATTTTTGTTCATTTTGAATGTATTTTAAAGTTTATAATAAATTTTACAAGAGAAGAATTTCGATTGTAAGATGCTCATTACTTTTAAAAATGCTTATTACCTGCTTTAACTACAACAATTCGAATTATTATCTTATTAAACTTGGAAATAATTGCATATTATTCTTCTTCTAAAAGTTTACTTAGAAATGCGAATATGATAAAAATGATGTTTAGAGCATTATTAATACTATATAAGTTGGTTTTTTTGACAAATTTCAATTATCCAGATTATTGTATTTAGAATCAGATCAGATTCCAATTATCTTTTCAATTTGGATAATTTTGCACGATGCTCATAACCTAATTTATATAATAAACCATAAACATCGCGTGTCTTTACTATTACTATATAATTATGTTATGAGCAGACGTAAATGTTAGATATTAATCAAACTACCAATTACGAAATTATTTAGAAATGGCGAATATGGTAAAAATAAATTTAGAATTTATAAGGTATATTTTTTAATACTCATAAATAAGTAGTTTTATATTTTATTTTTAATAGAGTAATAATTGATGGTTCAAATATCTTTTGGAAGTCAATGATCAACATCATAAATATTCAAGACCTAGACGTAGTATCTTTGTTTGAGAGGAAACTAATTCTTTACAAATTTTGCTGTAACACTTAAGATCTCCTGATGAAATTAATAAAAATAGTGTTTATTTGGCACTTAAAGTGACAGGGATGAAAAGTGATCATAATAATAAAGTTTTTGTGCCTTTATAATACCTGGCCATATTATATATACAAAATTGGGAGAAGCTTATTTCAAATTAGCTTTGGAATGGTCAAGTCAAGATAATAATATTGTATATAGATGGACCGATTATGCAAATGATTCAACATTTACAAATATACAATAAACATCTGCTGCACGTGATGATTTATCCAGTTTACAATATTATATTAAAAATACACCACGAATCAAATATTCTGGAATCTTTTCTGCACCATTCTTATTTGAATTGACATGCAAAGCAAATATTGAGTGGCTTCGAGGATTTGTTTCTCAACATGTTCCAAATTTATTTAAGTCAGAAGAAGCTTTATTTCAAGCTGAAGTTCAACATAATAATATTATTAATCAGGCTAAACGAAAGGCTGAAGAGTTATGCAAAGATTTATATTTTGATGATCCTCATAATAAAGGAATCATTAAGAAAGGATTGCCTATTATAGCTAATGGATGGTCAGGCTCGAAAGAAATAGTACAAGCATTAGGTATCAAATTAAATGAATCACAAAAAAATATACAAAAAACCAAAAACAAATTGAAAACAGTCAAAAAATATTTGCATCAATCTTTAGATACTATTCATAAATTAAAAACATGTTTGAAAACAGATTCTGACTCATCGTGATATGTTAATTATTTAAAATTATTATTACTATATTATTTCTTTAAAATTATTATATCATATAATCTTTTTTAGCAATGAGAAAGATAATAATAATGAATCAAATGATAGTATGAACTCAGATTTTGAATACCAAACTAAAGATGGCTCCTTAACTGTTGCAACATGATGACAAATAAAGCATCACCTAGTTGCAACTAGTTGTGACTTATAAAATTTTGGAGTTACAACATGTTGTAACAGGTGACAAATAAGCATCACATACTTGTTACACCATCTTTATATCAGACTATCAAAAAACTTACAGAAAAAGTATGATTAGGATCTACCATTCTCATTAGTACCAATATCTTTTTAGATTTGGTTTTAAATTAACCTTGCATTACATGCCATAATACAGATTCTGCAAATCAAATTGCTAAAATCAGAGTTGATAAATTGCAAATTTGTGTTATTATTACCTGTTCTTTTGCTTAGATAAAGTTGAATATTATAATGAAAGAGAAAATGATGACTTTTCAAAAAGTATAGCAGATACTGGTTTAATTAGAGATATAAATTGAGAGGAATTGCGATTAATATTAGCTATGATAGGAATCACATGACAGAATGAACATCAATAATATTTTAATAAACAAGTAGAATTTTTTTACAACTTATATCAAATTTGTAGATAATAGTACAAAGAATGCGTTGGTAACTATATGTGAGCAACTTCATAAAAATGATCAAAATATATTAGAAGTATCTTTTAATTATACTTGAAGTCATATATATAAGGCTTCTCAAGCTAGTAAAGAGTTTATTTATAATGGGAAATTAGAAGATAAATAAATATATAATTTTTTGATTTATTAAAAATTAATAAAATTATAATAATTATCAAACTTTTAGGCTATGAACATTAACTGGTTCTTGCTTACCATGTAATTGAAAAAAAATAAGAATATCATACTAAAATAGGTGAAATTATTACTATTCAAGAAGGTAATTATAATGACAGCTCATGATAAATAAAGCATGCGATCTTGATTGCTATTATTAAAAAAATTTTATCAGTATTAGAAAAGTATAATATTAAATTAAATATTAGCATCGATAAAGATCTTTTTACAAATAAAATGCTAGCTTTATTAAATATAGTCAATTAAATATTTGCTGATTTAAAATACAAAACTAAAATTATATGATCAAAAATAAGTAATTGTTATTATTTTAATTATATATTTGATATTAAATATTAAATAAAAGCTTATTTTATTTATTATTATAATATCAGATTATAATTGAAAATATTTTGAATAATCTATTATGAGTTTTTATATAAAATATGTTTATATAGCATCTAGTAGAGCTAATAATCCTCAAGTTTTAACTTCAGATGATGAAGAATTAATATGGATATATACTGAAGGCTTGATTTATTATTTA